AAACCATTGGATTTCGACCGCCTCATCCGAACTGATAGATGCCAGAAGACTTATTCCGGCGAGCTCCGAATTCAATGAGGAGCGAAAGCTGCACAAAAGGAAACTTACGAAAAGTCTCCGCAAGGACCGTGAACAGTAGTGGGTGACAAAGGCGAAAGAGATGGAAAAAGCATCGGCGATAGGCAACACTAGACAACTCTTTAGACTCATCAGGGAAACGGGTGGGAGAAGGCAAATCATAAGTGAGACTATTTGTGAGAAAAGTGGCTCCTTAATTAGCTCTCAGGATAGACGCCTCGAACGCTGGAAAGAACACTTCGAGGAACAATTTAACTTGCCTACAGCCACACTGAGCCTCCCCGCCCTCCAGCACACACCCGAATGGGACATAGACACTGGCCCGCCGTCTGTAAGTGAGGTCACCAAAGCAATCTGTAATTTGAAACGAGGCAAAGCGACAGGACCCGACGGAATTATTCCGGAGGTGTTTAAATATAGGGGTGACATACTAGCATATAGTTTAACTAAGGTACTAGGTAACGTCTGGGGATCAGAGACGGTTCCATCAGACTGGGGTAAGTCACTTATTATACCAGTATTCAAGAAGGGAGACAAGTCCTCATGTGATAATCATAGAGGAATCAGCCTAACGAACATAGTCTCTAAAATCCTAGGCTCAGTAATCATGAACAGACTAAGCCGAACTCGGGAGGAACAAACGAGGGAAAATCAAGTGGGCTTTAGGCCAGGTAGAGGGTGCATAGATCATATCTTCACTCTCCGACAGATCCTAGAACACAGACACACTTTTAGGCGTCCAACAATTGCCATATTTCTTGACTTGAAGGTGGCCTTCGACTCCATGGGTTGAAAGGTACTATGGCAATGTTTGACTGTGAAGGGAGTGCCAAGAAAGCACATTGCACTAATCAAGGCACTCTGCTCAAACTCACGTAGCTGTGTAAGGGCTTATGGGGAATTGTCATCTGAATTGATAACAACCAGTGGTGTCCGTCAAGGATGTCCACTTTCCCCTTTTCTGTTTAACTTCATCATACACATGCTAATGGAAGTATACTTAACTGAACTTAACGCCTTAGGAATCGACTTGTTACCAGGGAATAGTCTTATGGACTTAGAATATGCAGACGACATAGTCCTGTTAGGGGAGGATGCTGACAAAAAGCAGAGGCTTTTGAACACCTTGAGAAGCAATCTTCCTATGTTTGGCATGCGATTCGCCCCTGTAAAATGTAAGATGCTGCTACAGGACTGGACTACGTCAACTCCTAGCTTAGTGATAGGGAGTGAAGTGATAGAACATGTTGACCACTTCACCTATTTGGGAAGTTGTATCAGCACCAACGGATTGATTGGTGATGAAATTACAGCACGGATCCAAAAAGCTCGGGCTGCTTTCGCTAACTTACACCGTCTCTGGCGTAGGCGTGACACCCGGCTATCAACGAAGGGATGTGTGTACTGCTCAGCAGTTCGCTCCGTCCTTCTCTATGGCTCTGAAACATGGCCAATACGAGTTGAAGACATGAAGAGATTGTCTGTTTTTGACCACAGATGTTTACGATCTCTTTCTCGCGTTAGGTGGCATAATAAGGTAAGTAATGTTGACGTTAGGCGTAGTGTTGGGCAAAGAGGGAAAATCAATCGAAGAGGCTATAAAGTTACATAGATTGAGATGGATAGGTCACGTGCTGCGCATGCCTAATCATCGTCTCCCCCGACGGGCATTACTAGCTGATATAGGTGCAGGTTGGAAAAGAGTAAGTGGTGGCCAAACAAAAACATGGCATCAATCCATGAAATCCTTGACAGTTAAACTGAGTCAGGTAGGGAGATGCAGACTTCCGGGTTGGGGCCCTCGGGACTCTAAGAATCAATGGCTGGAGACAATAGGTGACATGGCTCAAAATCGTTGTCAATGGCTTACGTAGATGTATTCAGTCTCTGTAATCTTTCATATTCCTTTCTACCATTACTCATTCTGTTTCACTCTTATACTTATCTAAATTCTATTGATTTTCTTCTCTCATTTTCCTGTCTACCTTTGTGTGCTCTTTGGAACGTGGCAACTCGAACTGCTGCACTTCGGTGCCAAGTTCTATGTTGAATCCAGACAGACAGACAGACACCTTGAACTTAGACTATTTGAGGGAGTTGTTGATGAGTAACTCTTGCTGAAAGAGCTTTGATCCCACCTTGTTGATAATATTCTAACTGATTCTAAGGTACTTCTTACAACTGATTTTCGTTTAATTAATCGTATCCTACAATAATTACTTCATACTAGAAACTTGTAGCCGTCTAGCGGCACTGTTGAGGTAATTTAGAGCTTCTGATGCTATCACTGTTAATGAGTACCGTAGATCTCACCTCAGATAACTGTCTTTTGCGCATTTTGTGACTGCGCATAACTCAAGGAAGTTCAGGCCTGCTATACAGTAGAACGCATACATTGGTTTCCTGCTTCTAGACCACAAAATGTCAATTTCGGTCGTTACAGTACTCAACATACTGAGATAATATGTCTGGCCAACGCACAAGAAGCATGGTTACCGTGGAGAAGGGAGAATATGGCACCCTCAAATGTAACTCCAGAAACACGACCAGTCCCTGTTGAGGGATTTCCTTGTCATACCTCTGCTTTGAGTTTATTTACTGATCACTTCAAGTCTAACTCTAGAGTAGCGTCAAATGAGTTTACACAGAAACAGGAATTAAAATTCCGCGAGTTTCAGGCCAGACGAAAAGTGAAAATGCGGCGCATAGAAAAGAAACTGAGCTTGCTACAACTGAAGGATAAAACTAACGGATTTTTCTTGTGTTATGGTGATAGGTAGTCGCATAACCCTATAAGTACATACATTAAAATGCAAATTGATTATGTCTCTAAAAGAGATTATATGTTTGATAATCGTGAGAACGAAGAGATGTAAGTACCACCTCTCAGTGTCGTCTTAGAGCTGCAAAAGATGGAACTCCGTTGTTTTGATGGACAGTTAGAAAAGTATTGGAAATTAGTTAGACAGTTTGAACTTGTTGGTGGTATAGAGCTATTTTATCTTGTTGTTTGGTATAACCTTTCGTGGCATGTGCTACTGACAAGATTTATCAGTAGTATATAAAGAGAAGCTCATCGGCATAAAAATATTAAATAGTCGAGTGATAGACTTGACATGAAAGACAGCAAATGAACCAGTGTTGCAGCAAAACACGAAAATAAAACAAAGAAACACAATACGAAGGGAGGGTAGATGTGGCACAACACGGAAGATTTGTGCAAATCTCTTCTCTTCGGACGTTGTACTTTTCTACAGCTTGCTTAATTCATGATAATAAGCTCTTAACTTCTAGGTAAAGTGATATATACAATAGGTTAATTAAATCACTAAGATAGCTTTGTTGATTATAAAAGAAAGGCTACTTCATTTTCAAATCGAAAATTGAATTACACAGCAAGGTGAAAATTAATTTTTGTCTTTAATTGCATATTTACCTGCTCATTGCATTATTATGCTTAAGTTATAATTCCAGTGCCAAAAAGTATTTCCACAGTGTTTACCGCAAAAATATTCAGCTGCTTTCTGCAAATATACACAAATATCTGAATTTCTATCAGTTTACTTCATCTCTAATGTATATATGCAAACAATTCGTATTCTTATCGATTTTCTGGTATTTTGTTTGTTTGTTTTTACTTACAGCAGAATGGATACATGCCTTCATCTTTTGTTTATCATTAACCAAATATTCAAAATTTATCCTATAAATAGTTTTAACAAATTCATATTATATTCATATAAAATGAAATAAGATGCATGTAGATAAGAATATTCCAATTGCATGTAATATTTCTTTATTAAAATATCCTAGGAGAAATCCAACTTTCTGTATTATTATTATTGTTTCCTTTAATTCCTAGAGGAACATAGGGCTGCAGCCGTGCGTCTCCATTGCATTCGGTTCTCTGTTAGAGTCTTCACCTGGCTCCAAGTCTGCCCACATGCTTTCATCTCCTCTTCACATAACCTCCTCCAAGTCACCCTTGGACGACCAACTCGCCACTTCCCTTTCGGGTTCAACTCGAGCAATGGCTTGTCTAGTGATGTCACTTGATGGTTTCCTCAGAGTATGGCCAATCCATCTCCATTTCTTCCTGCCTATTTGTTTCACAATCAGTTCCTGGTTGGTTTGCTCCCAGAGATCCCTGTTGTTGATCTTTTCTGGCCATCTGATCTTGAGTAGTATTGAGCGAAGACAACTGTTAATGAAGGTCTGTAGTTTGTTTGAGATGCTCTTTATGACGCGCTGGCCAAGTCTCTGATCCGTATAGTAGCACTGACTGACTTCACATTGGAGTTGAAAATCCAGATCTTATTTTTGATGCTGAGTGCTGTTGACCTCCACACAGACTTGAGAGTAATGAAAGCTTGTCTTGCTTTTCCGATTCTTGCTTTGATATCCTCGTCAGTTCCGCCTGCCTGTAGTTGAAACGATGCTTCCCAGGTCGGTGGGTAAAAGAGGTTGTTTCTTTCAGGTTCCTTCCATTTATGCTGATTGTTGTCTGTTGTTACTGTTGGTGATGTTGGCCAGGAATCTTCATCACCTCTGTTTTCTCTATGTTCACCTGAATTCCTATCTTCTCTGAATGCTCCTTCTGCCAACTTGTTGCTTTTCGCTTGCATATCTTCCAGTTTGTGGGAAATCAGACATATATCATCGGTGAAAATAGTAGTAGTAGTAATAGTAATAAGAATAAGAATGCATAATAACTCTGTAAGTTAATGCTTTAGAAAAAATCAATAACAATCAAAAATTCAAAATTTCACAAATCAATTATAGTCAGTAGATTATTTAATGCATAGATAATATATATGTTTATTTGTTCATTTACAGTAATAAATGAGTAATATAATTATATCAAGATGAAATAAAAAAAATAAAATAAAAGGAATAATTTTAAAGAAATATTTTTCATTACAATGAATGTACAAATCAAATCAAAAGATGATCAGTTGTATCGACCACCACCAGGATATACATTAGGCAAATCAACTACTACTAGACCACGTAGTGTTGATTCAAAAAAGCCACCTGGTAAATCAGGTGATATTGAAGCAATTGACATTGAAGCTTTATGCAAGGCAATTAGTTCTGCAAAATTAAAAAATTTACGTATGAAACAAAATGTTATGGAAGCATTTATGCGTAAATTATTACAATCAATAAAAGAATTAAAAGAAATTGAACAAAAAAAGGGTAGATCAGCTTTATTAGATAAACAAAGACGCTTAAAGTTAACAAGAATGCTACAAATTTTAATGTTACAACGACGTAATTTACAATTACAAACAGATACATTACAAAAAGGACTTATTATATTGAGTAAAAAGTATTCCAATGTACGTAAACGTGTAGATTGTCTAGTTTTAGAGAATATGTCATTATGCAGAGATTGTAATCAATTAAAAAATGATATTGAATTTAAAACAATTCAAATAGATAATTTATTACAAAATAAATCAATATTACAAAAACAAATGGAAAATCATACAACACTTAAAATACAAGAAGAAAATGCACAATATGAATTAAAACGTATAAAAATTGAAAATGAAAATTTAAAAGATGCATTACAACAACTGGAAGTATTATTAAGATGTAAAGTACAAGAACGTGAAGATTTAGAATTGAAAAATGTACAATTACAACAGGAAATTGATTGTAGAGATGCTGAAGAAGAAAATATCCGTATAAGAAATGAACGTTTGATGAGTGAAAATCAAACTTTGAGACAAGAATTAATACAATATCAAGCTGGACGAACTGATGCCAATATACTGAGTGCTGAAGCTGATAAAGCACGTGAAAAGTATACACAATTACAAAGAGAATACATGAAACTTCAACGTCTTTATGCTACAGAAGCTGAAACACGAAAAATACTACATAATCAGTTACAAGAAGTTCGTGGAAATTTAAGAGTGTTGTGCAGATGTCGTCCACCAAATAATACAGGTGATCCATGCATACTACAGTTTCATTCAGTCGATAGAGTTGTTGTACCAACTGCTGCCTATCCACATTCTGCTACGTATCAACGCCAAACCACTAGTGAACTGACAAATATTTATATTGCAAAAGAAGATACATTCACGTTTAATCGTGTTTTTCGTCCTGGCGCTACACAACTTGATGTATTCGAAGAAATTAGGCCATTGATTGCTTCATGTATTGATGGTTATAATGTTTGTATTATGGCATATGGGCCTACAGGTTCCGGCAAAACATACACAATGCAAGGAATACCTAAAGATCCTGGTGTCAGTATAAGAGCAGTTACTGAATTGTTTGAGCTATGTCAACCATTGCAAAGTATCTGGAAAGTACAAGTCAGTATTGCAATGCTTGAAATACACAATGAAGTAGTTTATGATCTACTCGGAGAGCAAATAAAACCGGTTAAAATTTCCGATGATGGTGTTGATATTCGTTTAATTGAAGCTGAAGAAAAAATCGCCTCCAATGAACATGAAATGATTTACTGGATAGCTAAAGGTAATAAACGACGTAAAGTGACAGCGACTAAGTTAAATGTTGAATCATCACGTTCACATCATATAATACGCTTACACTTGACATTATGTAATACATTCGACAAAACAAAACGCAATTCATCATTGATCTTATGTGACCTTGCTGGATCAGAAAGTGCAGAGAGAATAGAAGCTAGCGGTGAAGTGCACGTTGAAACTGGTTACATCAATAAATCACTTGTCACCTTAGCACGTGTATTTGAAGCACTTCGACGTCGTAATCATTCAATTCAACCAGGTACACATAATAATCAATTAGTGGCAGCACCATATCGTGATTCCAAGCTTACACATATACTTAAACCATGTTTAGGTGGACAAGCTAAGTGTGTTTTAATCATCACAATTTCTGGTGAGGCCAATTTAATTGACAGAAGTATCAAAGCTATGGAGTTTGGACAACAAGCAATGCAAATTTCACTGGGACCAGCACGTCCAAATGAAAGGATTCTTACCAGTTGGTATGGTAAAACACGCGTTAAAAGTGCTGAACCAAACAGTCGGCATGTGAATTAAAATTAAATAACACACTCACTCATGAACAATACTAGTATTAAATATTTTGTAACTAAATATAAAAATTATTAGCCAACTCTATCACAGTTACCAAAATGCAGGGTTATTTCCTTGTCTATGACAGGTAGTAAAGATTTGGCGATATCGTACAGGACTACTGTCAAGGGAGAAACTAGAAATGGAAGTTAGCAAATACGCTTAAGACACTGAATAGTCCTTATAAATTGTAATGTTTATTGAACACTACCACGCAAGAACGAAAGTACTTTTGTCATTTACTCTGAAATTTAATACAAATCATAATCATCAAAATGAAATATAGATAAAATATTCCTTTTTCAGTCTTACATACAAAGTTATTCTATATATATAAATATATATATATAGTGAAAATGAAATTTTATAGGAGTAAAATGAAAACATTATGAATAATGCGACATCTTTATGTGTTGTTTTGACTTCTTTAATAACAAAAATATAGTCCATTCAGTCTGTCAGTTGCGAACAGAATAGAAACTTAAGAAAAAATGATGCCGAAATCAAACAAGAAAACTTTGATATAAAAAGCGAAATTGCTAAAGAGAAAAATGGTTACATTTATTTATTCTATTTTGACAAATTCAAGGCTATGAAACGCAGAGTCTCTAGCTAACATTACCTACCAGCATTTCTTACAGACCAACGAAAGATTCTTATTCATAATACAGGATTTGCGGTAATTTCGGATTAATTACAATTGTTAGATTTTTGTCAAGTCAGAAGTCCTGAAGCTGCAGTGGGAAGTCATAACCAGCAGGATCCACCATTTCAAGGCGAAGTGGATGCTCACCAAAGGCATTGGTGAGGGAGTCAGTGAATTCCAGCCCAAGTGGCTGAATGGTCAACCTTCATTATTATTATTAATATTCCCTTAGGTTTCGAGTGGAACATAAGGCTCCAACAACAGATCTCCACTTTTTTCTAACCTCTGCCGTCCTCTTCAGCTATGTTCACGATTGATCATAATCTCTCATCTCCTCTTTGCACGATCTCCTGCATGTCACCCTAGGATGACCCACCCGTCGCTTCCCATCGGGATCTTACTCGAAGGCCTGGCGCACGATGCCATTCGATGGCCACCTCAAAGTATTCCTAATCCACCTCCATTTTCTCCTGAATACTTGTTAAGCAATCAGCTATTGGTTGGATTGTTCATCGCCAGAGTTTCTTGTTGTTAATTCTTTTTGGCCAACCATTTGATCTACAGTATGGAGCCAGCGAAGGCAGCTGTTGATAAAAGTAATAGGCTGTTAGAAATACTTTTCGTGATGCCAACACCAAGTTTCTGACCTGTATACAAGGACCAACTTGACATTGGTGTTGAAAATCCGAATCTTGTTGTTTATACTGGGTGCAGATTTCCAAATTGATTTCAGATTGATGAAGACGTATCTTGCCTTTCCGATTCTCGTTTTGGCATCTTCATCCGTTCCAACTGCCTGTGGTTGCCTCCTAGATAAGTGAAGGAAGTAATCTCTTTCAAACTCCTCCCATTGATGGTTATTGGTGCTAGTTGTTGTTGGTTGGTTATCTTCATTACCTCGGTCTTCTCTATGTTCACCTGGAGTCCTGTCTTCACTACCAGCCTCTTCAGACAGTTTGTTGACTTTTGCCTTTCAGTCTTTGAGTTTGTGTGACACAACATAAATCATTTGCGAAATCCAGATCTTCTAGAGTCTTCTTATCAGTGGTTCAGCGTATTCCTATCTCCTCGCTCCCTGTGCACAGTCTGACGCATAATACAGTCCACTACAATTAGGAATATCATCGGTGATAATAGACAGCCTTGCCTTACTCCTGTATTCACTCCGAACGCCTAGCTGGGTTTCCCGTTGTGGGTCACCTGGCACTGTCATATAGCTGTTGAATGAGGTTGATAAAGACATGAGGTACGCCGAAGTGTTGAAGAAGTTTCCAAATTACTTCTCGGTCAATGCTGTCTGATGAAGGCCTCTTCGAAGTCGATGAAGTTGAGGTCCACCTTGCTTACTGTAAATAAAAATTAATTCGATAGCGACTAAAACAATCTTATTTTGTAACAAAAGTGGACCTTTATTTACTAAGTGGTGAATACATATATTAGTTAAACTGGTCACCAGACAATAAACAAGGTCGATGAGAAACTACGATTATTGATTAGTGAATGTAATACACACACACAACATAAGGTAAGTCATTAGCATTATTAGCAATACTTTGCAATGGATACAAGAAAACAACTAATTTGAAGTTGATGAAAGAGTCTGTAACAGGCTGTTGGAAATGCTTTCCGTGACGGTAACGTCATGTTTCTGACCCATACAAAAGGACTGACTTCACATTGGTGTTGAAAATCGGAATTTTCTTATTGATGCTGAGTGCAGAGGATTTCCAAACTGTATTTCCAATCCTGGTTTTGACATCCTCATCCATTCTACCTGTAGTTCAATCGATACTATCTAGATAAGCGAAGGAAGTGACCTCGTTCGAATTTATTCCGTTGATAGTGATTGGTGCTTGTTGGTGGTGGTGGTGGTCGCCTAGTATCTTCATCACGTCTATCTTCTCTAAGTTCGCTTGAAGTCCTGTCTTTGTTGCCTGCCTCTTTTGCCAACTTGTTGATTTCCGCCTGTAAGTCTTCATATTTATGTGGCATTAGGCATACATCGTCCATGAAATCCACATCTCCTGGATTCTTCACATTCATCCAACGTATTCCTATCTTCTAGCTCCCCACAGTCTGACGAATAATCCAGTCCATGACAATTAAGAAAATTATTGCCTATTGTATGTAGCCTTGTCCTTACTCCTGTATTCATTTTTCAAGGTTTCGCTGAGTTTTCCGTTGATCACTTAACAATGGCAATGTGAACGTGTTGTGCAATAATTCTGCCGATTTCTGGATTGATTCCACACTGAAAAACAATAAGCAACTCAACCAAAGACCAGTATTCCCACCCACCCTCATAGCCCACAAAAATGAAGCTGAGAACAAATCGACTTTTATTATATCCAAAAAGACACTATAAACTAATACCATCAATCTCGGAAAAATAAGTTAACGAATAACTAATTTAACTGTTTTCATGAAATCGGGCTTTAAGACTATCCAATCATATTGTAATAAATATTGTGCCTCAGCCCAATGGCTTAACTTTGTTCAGACCAGTTTAAACCGGTCTAAGGATGCTGAGGATTTGAAAGAGTATGGACTAACATGGATGCAGGTGAAGAGTACAGCAGAAGACAGAAGCAAGTGGAGACGTGCAGTTGAAGCCCTATGTTCCACTAGGAAGCCAAGGGAACAATACTAATAATAAGGATGTTTTAACCGCTTCTTATCAGATAGTAGCTCTGAAATTGATCAGTTCAGCAGTAATGAAGGAAAAGTGACTGTCCAGAGTTGTACATTTCTCAGTGGGTTTTCTAGGTGATTTCGGTTTATTCTGAAATCTGAAAATAAAAACAACTACCGAAATTCTCCCAGAGATGCATCTCACATTTAACTTCACATTAAGGGTCATACATGAAACGAAAATATCATCACATCATATCTTCATCACAAACTTACTCGATTCCATGGATTACTTAATGTGGCTAAAATCATTTTTTGGGGATTGATTGCAAATTGTTTTGATTAATTTTTAGTGCACTCAAGCATTCATTATTCATTCACATGAACAAAAAATTTGCGTAGAAAAACAATTAATTGAGTTTGACAGAATGTGATAGCATCAACAAATTGAATGAATAAAGAAATTAGCTCAAAGTGAAATCTAATTAACTATCTTTTGCTTTCTATCCAATAGGAAATTATTATTCTTACTTAAAATATACACTTGGTAACAGGTATGGGCGCTAAGAGATGCGCCACATGAAAGACATAAATCAATAATATGAGGTTAAAAGAAATAAAACAGTTGAGAAGAAACAGGCAGTAAGTACGCTTATCAAATTCATTCAAAAAAGCATTCGTTAATTTGTATTACTTTGAGGAAGAGATGAAAATTGCAACATCTGTCACTTTTTTGATTGGACACTAGTAGTTAGTGTGATGTGTCTAGTTCTTTCTTTGGTGCAGACTGAATTCTATCAGTCAGGTTTGCAATGTGGCCACCATTCTAGGTGGCTCACCATCACGGTGCACATTGATTTGATGATATTAGATGGTTGGAGGTTTTCGGCAGGAATAGCTGATTGGTCTAGAATGATGGCCACATTACAAACCTGACTGATAGAATTCAGTCTGCACCAAAGAAAGAACTAGACACGTCACACTAACTACTAGTGTCCAATCAAAGTACCCACTACAGTCCTATAGGAGGTCAATCGCGAGCCTGAATAGCTCAGTGGTAACGTCTCTGACTGCAGCACTGAGTGATGTGGGTTCGAATCTCAGAAGGGACAGGAGTTCCTTAAAGGTTGCAGATACGCCTTGCTGACGAATGCCAACTAGCACGAAACATAGGTCAAGCAAGGCTTCCTGCAGACTGCCTCCAACTATCTAATATCTGTGACTTCTGTTAGGAACTATATCTGACGACGAGTTGAATAAGTGAATCGTACGATATCTCGGATCATATGCACCGGGAAATGCTAACCTAAAACAACTGTCTCTCGTACCACAGTGCCATGCCATGGTCTGACAGCTCTATCCAACCTGTTACAAGACTACGTACAGAGTAGTGAACGGCATAGAATGCGCTGGTATTACATTTGTAGTTCGTGTCCAGCCTACTCTTGCTGAATCGCGGTTTTAATTGGTAGATGTAATGAACGCGAAACAACACACTTTTGACAGAACCAGGTCAGTCACATATGGGGGCCTCCATGGAGTTAGCTTTCAGTTGACAAAAAAAACACCTGTCTTATTTTGATTGATCGACTGTCAGATAGTGTTGAACAGTTTCAAAATAACAAGCAATGTGATAATCATTATCAAGCTCTTCCAATAGTTCTATGACAGTATATCAGCGGCTATCCTGAAAAGTGTATTTTCAACACTCAGACTTCATCCAATGGTTAGTAAGTCAACATTCGCACTACTTAGATCTGTATTGTTCTAATGTAAAATACTGATTATTTATTCTGTTAAAAGTACATTGGCAATAAACTCTAACAATAAAATTGAAACGTAGTACTAAGTGTGTAAGAATCAACCAAACCACCAACACTTTTATTTTTAATACATCAAAAGTTAAGCAAGTGAATAAGTTGTTCAATTGTAGGAGGAATTTATAATGAATACGAATAATCTTTAACAGAATGTTTTAGATGTATGCCTAGTTAGTATAAGAGTCACATGATCAATATCAAATGAAAATGTATTCTATGAAGTCGGTCAAACAAAAATGTACTCATTACTCACATGATATTTCTCAATGCAAATTTTTTGCATATATATTCGTCATTTATCAAGTCATAAATAATAATAATAAATCAAGAAGATGGAGAATATTTAGTTTGAAGGAACTAAGCATATTTTGAATTCCTCAAAACAGTTTACGGGGAAGTTATACACCACAGCAGCCACCCTCGTCACATAACCATCGACAACCAACAATTAGAGTTACAGAAAGGCGAGGTATGCCTTCATCAACGTGAAATCAGTTTGGAAATCTTCTGCACCCAGTCAGAATAAAGAACAAGATTCGGATTTCCAACGCAATTATGAAGTCAGTCATCGCTTCAGTTTGGGTCAAAAACATGGCCAGAGTGTCACGAAAAGGATATCGAACAGGTTGCAGACTTTTATCAACAGCTGCCTTCACTGGCTACATACTGAAGATCAGACGGGAGGACAGAAAGAATTAGCAACAAGAAACTCTGGCTGGGGACAAACCATCCAAGAGCCGACTGCTCAAATGGAGATGGATCGGGCGTACATTGAGGAGACTGTCAAATGACATTGCGCGGTAGACCATCGCTCGAGTGGAATCCGAATGGGAAACGACGAATGTGTTGTCGGAGGGTGACATGGAAGAGATCATTTGGGGAGGAGATGAGAGATTATGGGTAATCGCGGACCCAGGTGAAGAGGACGACAGAAAGTAGAATAAAAAGGAGATGTTGTTGAAGCCCTATATTCCACTCGGTACCACCCAAGGGAATAATAAATTTATAACCAAATCAAATTAGGCCCTCTGTTCTGAATTTGCTTGACGAAAATTAAAGGAAGATCAAGTATTTGATTGCTTCGCAAATAATGGATTAATTGAAGTTACTAAAACAGCATGCATATATAAGTGAGGTGGAAACTTGACTAGACAACTGATTTTTTGCGGTGGGATAAAAAAACAGAATCCGAAACATAAACCATGATCTTCAATCAGTTTTTTCAACGATTTTGAGAGTTTTATTGCTCATTAATTGTGACTAGTTGCTCAGTGTCTGCGGTAAAGTTGATCAGGGAACCTGCTTTGTTTAACTTCACCTCTTAGTTGACTTTATGTAAGTAGGCCTTAGAGATTTATCTTCAATGAATTCAGTTCACATAGATATCCTCTAAACGACAAAAGCTACACCCATTAGCAAATCGGTATTTCCTAACAGATAACGAGTTTATGAATAAATGCTTTTCTCCGACCCTTTAACCTAATTTTACTGACTGTTATCAAAAAAATCAACTGTAGTCAGATGCCTGAGAATTTCTCAACCCATGTTCTAGTAACCATTTAATAGCCATATATATATTAAAACAGACTGCATTGTTGAGTAGAATAATCAATTCCTAATAGACAAACAACAATGAGCTTTACTCAGCAAAAGTCATATCCGTGGAGAGATTTCATCTGTCACAAAACTATCTCACTCTAGGTGAATACGCAAACAAGTGAAGTTGCCAGCGCGCCTAATCACTACGCTTTGTATAACTGGATGGAGTATCCACTAAACCAGTCCAGAAGTAACAGTTTAAATTTGTGCGTTTTACATAATGCCAAAAAGTTACTCACAATTTGCAGCAGATTCTGTAGCACGCTTAGTGCCTTGGGTTTTTTCTACTGCACATGTGAACATTTCATGACACCAGATAACAGACTTCCATATACACAACACTGAATAAACCTGAGTAAAAATAATACCAATGTGTGTCGAAGATAAACACTAATCAAAGCATACGCCTTATGGATTTGTTTACCTAATGTTCTAACATAACTACAGGTATTCAAGTATACAGTGTTCACCCAGGACCAGTCTATCCTAAAGTAAAATTAAGACAGTAAAAAAGCACCATGGGGGAGAGAACACTTGTCACATGCATAAAAAACACCTCACATGTATTGCACCCTAGTACAACCAAGTGAATGAGCTGAATCTCATCAACTGTCTCTTTTGTTATAAAATGAAATTAAATGAAACTACTTTCAAAATTTTCCAACTTAGTGCACTAAAAAGCGCCACTAGGATTGATCCTAGTAACCTAGATCAAATAAGTCTAGGAAATAATACTCAATTGTAATTACATTAATATAATAAACAACACACCAAAACCTTATGAACTAGTTTATTTTTCTCTTTCAAATAGCAAAATGACGTATTATATATAATATACTACTAGAGTATGAGAAATTAGTGTACTCGGCAGGACATTAATCATACACTAGAAAATTTATGCCACTAAATACATACAAGAGAAAGAGAAAGAAAGAGAGAGATGGAGGGAGGGAGAAGGAGAGAAGAAAACAACGAAAATGATAGAAATTGAAAACAAACTAAGTGTGAATTTTAATCACGAAGTAAGTATTCACACAGAAGAATACACAATAATAACCATTATCGCAAAGGCGATGAAACTACAGTCAGAAAAAAGAACGTTAGCCTTACAAACACACACACACACAACTCTATTCAATGTGCTCAGAGATGGATAGATTATATCAAGAAGAAAAGAATAAAGGGGGGGCAGGGGGCCGGGAGGGCAACACAAACGATTACTTCAAGCTACCATCATCACGCAACATACTATAATAAAAATAAGGGAGGGGGTGAATTTATAAACAACTGATTGATATACTTTACTAGTAGTGATTGTTTTTACATTTTGAGAAAAAAATGGAGAATTAAGCAAAATGTCCTATTGATGATGAAGCAGAAGGCAAGAGGTTAGAAAATAAGTGTCTACCACTTACCTTCTCTCTTTCTGTGAAAGGCATTTTACATTCAGATAAAAACAGTTAAACAACAAAAACAAAACAAGACAAGGAAAGGAAAGGAAAGGGGAGAGATAGTAACAACAGGCCAATGAAATAGCATGAGTGTGAACAGGATCATCATAGAAAGACAACTGAACATATAAGAATATATATATACATACATACATACATACGTACTATATTCTATCATCTACAGTAGATATGGACAGAAAAAGGAATTTTTTATTCAAATAAAGATGTTATACAAAATAGAACAAATCCAACTGCACTAACCAACGAAACGGTTTTACAAAGAGTGATAAAGATTAAATAATGCGGTAGAATCTAGAAAACTATCTATAATAGTCAGTGAGGTCATCAGAACTGAATAAACTCTAATAGTGTATAGTGTACAACAACAATAACAACAACAAAAAATCATCACTAAATATAGGCACCATAGGTAGGTAATACAGTTCCCGTCCCAATGAAGCATCAGGGTAAATTTATATAATAATACCTGAAAATTACTTACAAAAAAATGTCAATATTTCCCCGAAACCACTTTAAATGTTTATCCATTCACAGAATAATTTTTTTGATTTTATAGACTATAATCAGAGCGTAGACGGGTAAGCATAACCTTCTGTTTCATCAAATGACCCAAATATCAAGCAGACCATGTTTCCGTATAGATTACGATAGGTTAAGTAACATACGGTTACTGAAAGTTTGAAATCAGTTTGTGCGTGCAGCTGTACTTAGTTGAGTGGCACTAGGATTAGCGGGAATTGATATGGGCTTCAATTCTCTAATTTGTTTGATTAAGTATTGTTTTTCATCGTTGAACTGGCCATCATCTGTACGCTCCGTTTGGAAATTTGACAGGAAAGACAATAACTTCTCCTGATTACGATATAGAATCATATGAACAGCCGGTGGTTTGTTTGGATTTGCGACGAAAACCTAAAAGAGAAATACATATATATAGACAGAATGAGAGCTGAGTTGTTTTGTTTTAAATCGAGTCTCTAGTTTGCCTAAACTACACTGATTTTCGTTTAATCTTTGAATTACTATTGCGTGCCTTTTTACATAACAGCTTGCATTTTGCTCTTCCCATAGTACAAGACTGCTTTCTCACCGTTCATAAACATTCACTTCACCTACATTTGAATTCTTGAACGAGGTCACGCTTGTGTATCTTTTATTCTCAACTAACTATCGTGGTGTCGTAAACGAAAGCCTTCCACAGAGAAAATACTATTAGTCTTACTTAGATTTCAGTGGTTGTTTCTTGACAGATGATTGGTGAATAGAGTCTTCAGCTTGTATCCAGATCGAAACACCACACCACACCACGCCCAATTAGCATAAGAAGACAACACAGTGACAGTGAAAAACAACGAAATGAAAAGAAAAAAAGAAAACAAACAAAGTAAAATTCAATTGATTCTCACATGAGAACTCACCTTAAAGCAATGAAATGCTTCAAAAGCAATTTGCTTCTCTTTACTTTTTAACATATTCATGATAACTTTAAGGTTTTCCGGATCTGCAATATACCTTGTCATTATTGATATATTATGTCGATCAAGTAAAAGTTCACCTAGCAGCTAAAGGTATGAAAGGATAAAAAAGAAAAGAAAAGAAGAGGTCATTTTACGCATATAGACAAATAAAATATTGATATTTTTGTAACTTAGGATGGAAAATTCCCTTTTTAACAACAGTAATAATGTTAAAAAGCATTTGGATAGCGTTATTAGAAGGTGAAGTTTATCTGCGCGCTTACTTGTAAAACCAAATTGTATGAAAAATGAAGGACCAATTGACAGAAACAAAATGATACGGGATTTGAGAATAAAAATAATTAACACTACCATTAGTAATATAATCAGATAAGGATTACCAAGATAGCTTAAGCCCTCCAGGAACTACATGGTAGATCCGACATAATTATCCTAAAACCTGACAAAGAAGCAGGCGTGGTTGTAATGGATAAGTGTGCTTTCCACATTCTTGAAAATAAAAGTAAATTCATAACGGAGGTTCCATCTGTTCATACCAGGAAATCGGAAGGAAAAATAACATCTCATCTAGTAAAACTGCAAAACAGCCTCACTTCATTCGACAGATAAAAATAAAAACAAGGGCAGATTAAAGGCAACAAATATGAAAACAGAGATCTCGAGTGCGTTTTGCTTTTTGGCATCAACCTGTACAACTTCTCACACAAATCACCCTTTGCTTCGTTCAAGCTTGCAGTAAGCAGAAATTGCGTAGAGGCATCAACAAGGACCACGACTTTGCCCTCTTCTTATGGACCTATTAAAAATGTGTACTATGCAGACGGCGGTTCACTAGGATCTAGTCGAGTTGCGAGTTTTCCAACCTACAGCTTAATGCTACTCCTAAACAAGAAAATCCATCGAGTCTCTTGAAATTCCTAGGATGAATTTTTATAGATTAGTTAAATTAGTTAGTTAGTGTACTTGTGAATGGCACATGTATCCCACATACATAACATACAATCGAAGCTCGACATGCATTAGCTGCAGTCAGCGACGTCTGTCTCCGATTCGACAGCATTTTCAAAGTTGAAAACTTCATCGTGAAGATGGTAATAAAGTACGAAGCTAAGAATGGTGTTTTGATAACTTAAATCAATAACGATAGCTAAAAGAGGCAAGAAAAGTTGGAGAAACTGTTTGGCATCACATACTTCCTATCAAAACAGACAGTGAAGAAGGAGGAAAAGATAAAAAAGAAAGGGAAGCTCACGAACAGAAAAGTTCTGCATGCTGATGGAAACGTGCGGTCAGTTTGTTTTTCTTGACTGATTGTAACTTGGAAGTTGGTTGTTTGAAGCATTATGGGGCTAGTCGTATCTGAATCTCGGTAAACAAAGTGAGACTTGACCTATGGACGCTATTTACACATTTCTTTTATAAGCTTCTATCACGATGAGAAATTTGAAAAAATTACCCAATAAATGGAATATCGTCTCAACTAAAAGCACCTGCTAGAAACATATTTCACTGAGAGAAACCGACACTTCAATTGAGAGTATCAAACATCAAACTTAGGCTAAAAACGGCTAGTGTCAGATGCTTGTTTCTTGAGACTGCAAAAGAAGAGAATCTCATCATGACAAGCAATCAAACCGAAACCCAGTCTACTTTCAAACTTATTTGCAGTTTCTCAACGTGGGAACATCATCACTCACTGAGAAATGCAGGTACGTCCGGATGACGAGTCCCAAATAGGACGAAATGCGCATCCTGGATTCCACTGCTAGTCACCATCCACCAATTAAACCCTACAGATGATGGTAGATCTTAAGATTTGTAAACCCGTATAAGTTAAACAAAGTCTTATAAACTTCAACACATGAAAATTTAGATTATAGTTCTTCTGAATTTATTTTTTGTCTCTTCACTCCACTTCTGCGTGCCCCATGGTGTGACAACTTGAACTGCTACACTTCTGTGTAAAGTATTATGTTGAAACTCAGTCAGTCACTTAAAAACTGTACAATGTTACGTGAAAGTTAGCCACGGATTCGTCTGGAAAGCCGAAATATTCATATCTGCTTCACATCATATATGGCAATCACTGAAGCAAGAGAAACACCATAATGGCATATACCAGTGACTGATGTAAGTTAGACCAGATCGAAGTGGCCTATACACCGGACGACCGTTTAACAATTTGAAGCTTCATATCCTGGCTGTTATTTATCACACTAAGATCACACTTTGAGAAATAACTATTTCAGGTTTCTAAACGAAGCAATGGTGAATTTTCACCATAATTTGCTAATTACGAATTTGACTTTATGTATTACTCGTTTGCCCAGGTATATGGCCACAATAAGAATGCTTTCAGCTGATAACATAAGTCACTAACGAGTGAAACACCCATTAAATCACTTTGATATGAAGAGTGAGGATGTGACTCCTTGGTCTTACTTAGAACTTGTCGGACACCACTAGTTGTCACTAATTCATATGACAACTCCCCATAAGCTCCTTTACAGATGCATTAGTTCGAGTTGAATGTCTTGATTTCTAAGATATTACCTGAGATAATTAAAGCACTGTCCTCGGAAACTGTTGCGCTTATCACTGATAGTTTACAACCCCGTTTCTCTGATGCGTCCAAACAGTTATCAGGTGTTATCTACCGCTGATGTCTTCTCCGTCTGTTTGGCTTCCATTGACCACCGATGTTTACGGTCGTTAGCGGAACTTTTAGTCAGCTTGCATTTGAGCATCTTTTTCTCCTCATCGTGCCCAGAGATCACCGAAATAAGTCTCTTCTCATTTACCAGTTCGGACGAGAAATCTCCAGTCTTTATCACTGTTTCTACAGCTGAATAGATATTACATCAGCCTCCTCAGTCTCAGCTATGCGTTCGATTATTGCTTCCCCAAACAAAGACAATGTTCTCACCAAGTTGGGGGCTTAGAGACTTCGTAGCTGGCTGTTTTCCATGTCTGTTCAGTCATAGACATAAACGTGCACGTACCAGAGCATTATAGGAGTCTATGCAGGTGTTCCACGGACAGCGGCAGTTTCCCATCTACCCTTTCAACCGACGGAAACATGGATTATTTATGTCCCGTTGATTTGGTGGAAACTGCCAGATGACACACTTTTTCCATATGTGTAAAATTAATGGTGACTAGGAACAGATGATTATCCGACCAGAATTGTAAAAGACGCCTAATGTTGTCGGTCCCTCGGCATGGGACTGCATGTATGTCACCAATAAAGGCTTATTACTGGCAAAGTTTTCCCTACTAGAGCACTGAAGTTACTTGCTAAAATAACTATATCTAAGCGTTTTGCATTGGGCAGAGAAATACACAGCTTTTGACAGAACTCATTCTTTTCTCCACCCGGACTGCAGCCGGTTGGGGCACACGCGGAAATTATGAAAAGACATCGACGGGTAGCACAGTCTCTCCTCCTTTCCCCGGATCCATTAGGTAGAAAAGCACACATACGACTGTCCACTAGAATCCAACCAAGTAGGGATTTTTCTGAACTCTTGATAGCCACAAAGTGAATGTTGTACACGCATATTGGCTAGGTGACGTTAAGTGAATAACCAAACTCGGATCTTTTACGCGTGTCTCTGAAGCGCAGCATACATCTATGGCTCGAGATGCCAGAGTTCTGGCTCATTTGGCAAAGGGTCTTGAATTCTCCCATAGAAAGTTGGCAGCATGATTTTAGGGGACTTGCAGTGTTTTCCCGGCTTTAATCGCATTTGTATTAAAGTTAAAAGGCGGGAAACAAGAATATGAAACAGGGAAGTTCGTGTGTCTATGGAAGTATGTGGGTCGGTATCTAAACCAAGGAAGTTGCGCTTTTTGGATTACTTGGAATATAAAGAACATTAGTGTTCCTCAACCGTAGAGTCCAGAGGGCAACTACTTCAGAATGGCGACGCGGCTTGTTTGGAATGGTTGTTGGAGCTGTGTCTACGTGAAGTTCTTATAGGCAACTACTAACCACCGCAAGAGGTAAAATTTAAAGGGTCAGCCTTTACTAACCACCCTCCCCAGAGCGGGGAAGCAGCATAGCTAGCTTGTTAGTGGTCTGAGGGAAGCGCCTCACTACTAATTCATCCCCATTCGCCATCAGCACTCCACCTCTAGACCCTCAACACAGTGTGACTTGTGCTATGACAGTAACTGATATTAGTCTATCTGAAAGACAGGAGACCTTATTGTCTCGGTAATACCTGTAGGAATATTCGCCCCACACAGTGTAGCTCATTAGGTCATTGCGATATCCAAGCCTGACTCACCACGTCAAGGTAACAGCTGTCGGTCGGACTCAGGAACGTTACATTGTACTTAAGTTTAATGATGCTTTTATGAATATCATTGCTTATTTCCAACTTCTCTTTCGGAACTGCATCCATTAATTTAAGATTTACGGATTTTCGGACAGCTAAGAAAGGACGCTAAATCTATGAATAAATAAATCTGAATTGTAAGCATCCTGACAGCTTTTACACAACTGAAACAGGAAACTGAAAATCAAACAAATCACTCATTAAAGGTTGAATATTGTGGAAAGATTGTTAATAATACAGCTTGGGAATGCCAATGGAGAATAAATGCGAGATTAACAGAACCTACGAAGTCGTGTACCAGATAAAACCACAAGTATAAATGACGTGACGCAGTTGCACAACAAAAGTGCTCTATGAACCTTTATTATACATAACGAAAAAATGATATAGCTTTAATACATATCACAAATGCTGCAATGATGAAAATCTGTCAAATATCGCGTTGCATTACCTACACTCGTATACCCAGCTCCTTTAAAACTGTTTATTGTGACTGATCAGTTAAGCAAAATAATAAAGCATAAAAACTAACCTTTAGTGCCTGCCTTTTTGTAACGTAATTGTCTGACAGGATCATATGCATATAGTGATTAAAAAATTCATCATAATTAGCTGCGAGGAAATCTGCTACGAGGGCTTTGTGGCGTGTTAGTAAATCTTTTAGTGTTGCAAAGGCGTCTGAGCTTACATCGAAAGCTGTACCTTGTACATGTTCGAAAAGCTGATAAAACTCTTGAGAACGAAGAACAACTTTAGCCAAAGCTTCATGTCGGCATGCGTCGCGAAGCATCTAATTAAAGAAAAACAAATACTTTGTCTCAACGAAAAACGCACAGATATCTTTACAAGACATAGGACGTAAACACATTTAGCATAAAATTAATTAAATGAACGGTAGCACTTATGAACGTAACTCCATAAAAGTAGTGCACATACTGACAAATTCAGGCAATCTTAACAACTGCTCAGGACACTATCGTTAACTACCCTACCAATATAAGCATTTTTTGCGAATGAAGAGAATTTAAAATGAATAAGGTACATATGGTGGGTTTATTCCGCAGAGCTGGATATCTTGACCTCCAAAAATGAGGAACAGGGAGGGTATGAAACTGTCTCAGCCTTGGACAGTGATAAGAGTTCATCTATGAACATTACACAACATTTGAAGTCAATGCCTGAAATAGTATTACCTTAGGAAAAGCATTCATTTTCTTTTCAGCATTAGAATTATAGTTTAACAATGATAAGAATGATAACAGCACCTAGATGAACAATTGAAATAGCTTAGTTAAGCTGTGATCTACTGTTGAAGCTTGCATTCCATTTTACTTAGTGAATGATTTCAACTGTAGTCGTATTTTCTATAAATTCAAATGTAGAAAGACACCAACATCGACCCAGGAACTTACAATCATCAACTTCATAAAATTATAAAACAAGCCTTCAGAGCCTGTTTTTCGACTAGTTTTGTATTAAACCCTAAACTGTGGTCTCTTTCCATGTTCCTATCATTCTCCATCACATTTCTGTTTATATATATATATAATTTTGTCTACCTTATTGTGCTACATGGAGTGTGGCAACTTGAACTGCTGCACTTCTGTGCAAAGTTCTTTGTTGAACTTCATTCAGTCAGTCTTTCTCCACTTTTATCATCCATTACTACTTATCATCATTGCAAATACCCAATCATTTCGTGTTTAAACTGTTTTCACTTCTAAATATGACCACATAGTCGGGATAATTCACTCTGCATTGATGAGTTCCTAAGGAAAATAGTAACCCAAAACTTCCATAAAACTTCGAATGCCCATGAATGTCCAAACCATCAATTTACTGTATCCAGTTCTCAAACAATCATCTAAACAACGGTCAACCTTTAAGTGACGATAAAACTCTAATCCCAAGAAGTATCCTCTTTAACATGAGCCTTTGAATCATTGCAGCATGCCAATGTTGACTTCAACTTGCATAGAGGATTCTAACGAGATATTACGACTGGCCATCTGTCAGTTCAGAAAATAGGATTATCTAAGTTTAGCTTGTACGTAGACCACATGATATCGATTTGCAATCATGACATCAGAACCCTAGAGACAAAGAAGGCTTGTACTTCCAAGTTCAACAGTATACGAATTCTAACGGAGAGAACAAACTTCAAATGATATTACGAATAAGTACCAACCAAATGAAACCTATGAGTACATATCAGAAGGCAACTAAAGTGAGGTAGAAAACAAGTACTTGCAATGAGGTTTATAGCCATAAAATCTTTCGACTAACTGCTCGTGCTACGTTAATCAACAAGATAATTGATAATAAGGTTAACAATAGTGTTGCGCAACGAAGGAAATTCAATTGATAAGGTTCTAGATTAGCATCGACTGAAATGGTTAGCACATGCGCTCAGCATGACGGTGGTAGCTGAAGCAAAATTAGGTTGACACGGGATTAATGACGTCAAAAGAAAACATGGTACTGACTAACAGAGTCATTCGCTGGTGGTCTGAGTCTGGCTGGAGTCCTCGAGATGTTAAAAGCTAATCGTTGAAAGCGTTTAGTGATACACTACTCTGTCTCTTTCACATTCTAAAAATTCTTGTTAGTCTTCATTTAAACATTATTTTTCCAGTATATGTTCGTTTATTCTTTATTGATAAATAACACTGTTTTACTGTGTGATATATCCAATAAACAAATTAATATACATTTCAGTACTACCACGGTACTCAAGTTTCACACATAGATTAGATCTATTGTATTTTACATTTATGAGCTTCATTTTGTGTGATTTCTCGAAAAGTGGGAACTCGGAATAAAACACCTTTGTGCTACTTTCTAAAACGGAGTTATTTATCAGCTCCAGGGAATACTTATATATACATATATATCTGCATTAGATACATCCATAACATACCAAGTGAATATTACGTAAACGTTATTAGTGAACCTGGTGTTAGTGCCCACAAGTAGTGAACACCTGTCTTAACAGTTAAGTGCAAAGCATGCTCGCCCAGTTAAAAACAGTCACCCACGGAAGTGATATATTTTGGTATACAGTGAAACCAAGTATTATGTAAGGTACAAGAGTGCTTTTCGAAAAGAGACAGACGAGATTCCTAAGAGTTCATCAAATACCAGTCTGACAAAAGCTAATTCTATCCCACTGCATCACTTGGACTGTAAGCGCTGCTATACTATGGGGCCTGCAGGATCTCACCTATACAACCGAAATATTGCGGCTAATACTGTTGGAATTTTCGCACAGCATGGCAACATGAAGTGATTGTAACATATTTCTCATAATCATTATGGTCAGCAATCGTGGATTAATGTGTTACCTTCCATTTAAATTCGTCCACACCGTAAACTGCATTCCAGATTTGATAAGAAGGAAATTAACTTAATCTTTGATATCATGCAATAATAAGTAACCACAAACTGAAATGCTCCCAAATGATTATACTGCTTGATAGCCCCAGACGAAATTTTAAAAACTCCAAAGTCGAAACCAGAATTTATCGATGGTGGACGCCATTGATTCACGTGAATGGAAACCACTAGTATAAATCGACAGTGTTATCATGCTGTTTCGCTTGCTTCAGTAATTTTCATATATAACGTCTAGCAGACAATATAACGATATGAATATTTTGAGCTTCCAAAAGAAACTATGGTGAATTTTCACCTCACACTGTACAATATGTATGTTCAAAAGCCATAGTCTGACTCGTACATATGCACAGATATTTACCCTCATATTTGGTTAGAATTCAGTTACTTGGAACAAAATGTTTTGTATGCCAGGTTATGAACCATACTTTTTGTACGAATCCTAATGTTCCTACCCAGTCATGTAGGTTCAAGCAGGCAATGAGAGTGGGGGCACTTGTGGTCATTCACTGCTGACTACCGAAATGACCACATGAAAATTCACGTATACACGAATAATCTTCAACAGATATACTTAAAAAACCAATTAGCAGCTAAGACTGTACTACTTAGACAACAGGGCGCATAACATTACAAACCTTCAGCAAACCACATATAACTACCGTAGAAGAAAATCAAGTGTTATAAGATAATTTGACCATAAAGTTACTGTTTATCGAGGTATGGCAAATAAAGTGACCATAATATGGGAAAAACGGTCATATTTGGCAAATAGTTGAGTTAATTAGAGATTCGAAATCTTGAGACTTACCGCTCCATAGTGTATAGCACTATCGGGCTTGGAGTATCCTTGTAATAATGATATTAAAATTTGAGTGTTGGACAACAGATACTGAGCGGCTGGATTGTATGACCCAACCTGCCTTCGCATAATAAGACCAAACAGATCAACGATGTGTTTAGAACTCTAACCACAATTTTGATAAGAGTAAAACAAGACGTACCTCAAACTCGATAGCATCTAAATTGTTTACAATTAACGGCAAAAGACTGAGATTTATAATTTCGTGAGTAACATCCGTTATGATTTCATTTATTCGTGCTCGTTCAGAATTTGACAACTCTGCATCGCGCTCCTTGCCAGTCAGTCGGGTGTCTGACTTATCAGTTAACAGCTCTCGCAAAGTACTTAAAGCCCTTGCTATTTCTTCCACAGCCTTCTTCCGTTCTTTATCATTTTTGGCACTGCCACTTAAGGCCTTTAACACTTCATGAATATTGAAGGTAGACTTACAAGTAGGTTTTCATTAACAATTTGGACCAGTTCACGAGGGCTTTTTGGTTTCCCAAACAGTGGCATACTTTGGAATGTCAGTTACTAGAAATCGGAGCGAAACATAGTGTAAGAATATCACGCGTTTTAATTGTTAATAAATTTATCTGAAAACATGCATACATAAAGACTAATTAAATACTATAATGCTATAAAAAAAGAGTAGGATAACATCTGACTACACAAAGCATATCAAGCCACTGGGCTGGGAAAATCACTCAGCAACACACAAACTCCAAAAACCAGATCAAAAAAGGCTGCGAACCACTGTGTCACTTCTAAGTGAACAAATAACCACTAAACTATGGAGTAGTATATCACAAAAAATCTGCAACAATTAGATTTTAGCGTCTCAAGGACCCCGGCCAAACTCAGACTAACAGTTAATGATTTTATAAGTCAGTGCCATATTTTCCATTGACGGCAGCAGTTCTCTTTCAATCTAGTCCTATTACAGCTACCACCACTTGTGGTGGTCAGTTACATAACAATCTATTCCTACCCTTACTACTAACTGTCGTGCTGCACAACTTGACGCCAGTGACTACTATCACTTGATTGATCGAAATAACTTACAGTCATATATCTTTAATCTTCCCATATATTTTACATTCAGCAGTAAGCCCGATGGAAATACTATTTAAAGGCAACCTTACATGGTACGAGCTGGGAACTCTGGAGGATGAGGAAAGGAACCACACAAATGTGCCTAACCTCTAACAGCCAGATTAACCCGCTATTGTATGTAACGCATCACATCTTAGATGTTCAATATTTCACGAAAAGTTACATACCTCGTCCGACTCGAGACTTAAAATCCTAGATGTAACATTCCTTCATTTACCTGGTAATATGTAGTGAATTTAAGTAAGCTGATAATTTATTAGGGAGCTACTTAATTTTCTACATTTTGATACATCTCGATACGTAAATGGAGCTGAAGTAAAAAGGATGACCAAAAAGTATTTACTAGCTAAACAGACACCTTAACCACCAAGGCGAGTCTGGAGTGCTTTGTAATCTTCTAAGAGGCAACATATTCCTGCAGGCTCAGTCGTAACTCTACTCCTCCTCTATTCAGTCAAATCTTACCTCAGAGTCTATAAATATAGGAGCCTGATAAGTGACATGCATTTCTCCAGAATTAATTAACTAACAAAATCGAAAGTGCGGAAAATATTATTGCTACATGCCTATTCATCATTCGCCTCAAGAAAACGACTCCGGTCCTATTAATTATGATATTTTACAGTTTTAATTCCTTGATATTGGCAATACATTCTGCTTAATTGAACCAACTGTCGGGAATGTTTTCCATGCTCGACTTCTTTGCGGATATTATTCGGGTTCCAGAAATCCAGAAATATGTTTACGCCGAACAATGTAGGACCTTTCATTTTAGCTGTAATCCTAAAATAAGCATATTTTCCAGGGCTAGATTGAAGTGTGGCGAACACCCGGTCAAATAACACTGGACAGCCAAAGGCGTTACTTCAATAGAGATTTCCTCAGGAAATAAACGATCGATGTAAAATAGTCAAGCAGAACAGCAATTCCACACGCGTTCTGAAAATGTATCCCGGCCGGTTATCGGAGTACCCATTGTAATACCAAACTAAGTCCTGTTAATGAATTCATTCAGATAACAGTATGCTATGTCATTTCGTGACCCATTTATCCCTTACCATTATCAACATGCATTTACATTCACGACCCACATTATTATTCATTGTGTTGTCTGATTAACTGCTTTCACTAACTCACTAACTATTTTGTTTTACGTTTTCAGCATCAGTTTACCTGAATATAACAATGTAAGCCCTATGACATTCATTCTTAGTCTTATTACAATATTTTTATATATGGAGTATTCATTGATTATGTTTAGGATCCTTTGATTTTTCTGTTTGTCTTTTCAGTACATCTTGACTTTGAGCATAAAATACGATATGGTCAGAAAATAATCCGGGAATTCAACACGAAAGGACAAGATAAGCTATGATACTTATTTCACATAGATAATATATAAATATTTACATCATGTTGCGAGTCATTTTTATTGATCCAGTGCCTTGTGATATAATATGAAATTCGATGGTAAAATAGTGCACAGTCATGCACACGAAATGAGAAAATACGTTTCACCGTCATATGTATTGAAGAACGGTGTGTCTAAATTTGTGACTCTCCATGAAGGGTTGGCAGAACTCTTCGCGTAACGTGCAGTTATTCTTATGGATTGTAGCTGATATTAGATAACTACAATACTATAATCGATATCTGTCTCTTCATCAGCTTCTAAATACCTGGGCATACCACCACCAGAACTAAAATTCGGATTCACTCTTCTGAATGGCTTATCCTATGTTGAATGAATGCTTAAGAAACCGTCAGTAACGCTATCAAGAATTATTGTTGCTGCCAGAAGATAACTATCCAGTAAAATTCCCACCCAAACATTGATAACAACAAGACAAGTTGTTTAGCGAAGAGGCTCTCTTCGGCGGATGGATGTAACAAACAAACAAATGTGCATCCTGACTGCAACTCGTTCACTAAATTATTCACCTTACTGAGTGACTATTACACTTATTCGACTTTTCGATAGCCCTGACAAATATTATTAACTACGTTTGTGACAACTCATCACTTTAAGTACTACTCTTTTTCATGATAAAGTGTATATAAATACAATCGTACAGCTAAAGAAGATGAATTCGCTGGGAGGCACCTCGTCACTGAACTACTTGTTTTGTTTTTATTAACTTCCGAAAGTCAGCACATTAGTTAGATTCTTAATAACCAGCATATCTATGTGGTGAATTTAATTATACAGCAGACTTGTCATCAAAATCACAGCTGGTTAATATTGTGGTGAGAGCTGTCTACTAGCCAAATTGGTAGACAGTAATTTACGTCAATGTTTACGTTCTCACGATTTGTCGTGAGAAAATATGAACAAAGACTGATTCAAAACCGACCACAGCAGACTTTGCGTAGGCGGATACAGTTAACATATAGATGATCTGACATTCAAGAAACAGTCACAAAGAGATGAAAGATTAACTTTAAGTGAGAAACAACCAATCAGAAGACTGTGTTTGCTTGCTTAACTAAACTATAAAATGTACATGAAAATATATAAATATGCTTTGATTTCCATACCACTATAGATATGCTCACTGCAAATATCAACAGCCAACTTCTAATGCATCAGTTAGCCACTCCACTGCCAAAGTGGTGCAGGCAGCAATCTCGACCCCATGCCTAAAAATAGAACGTTTTCGGTGAATGATTAGACTACATGGCGTACAAAACGAAGGTATCGTACATCGGAATCCAAGATAAGCGTACTTAGACACTCCAAAAGTCGTAACGTAAAAATCGGAGTCGTCCGGCACTAACCAAGTATTCATCTGAGGGACAAACAGAAGCTTTTTCTCATGCCACTACGTGGCTAAAGCGGTCGTCTGCAAACAAGCATAAACCTATCTCGACACAAATGCTCTATCCATACGGAAGTTCAACCCGGGGACCCTTACGAAAAGGAGCCGACAGGATAATTATCTTTTTTACAGGACCTCCTTTGACTCACTATATCCTTGAGAATCACCTGACACAAATTACGCGGGAGACTGGGAGATCAGTCAGTTAGGGTGTCTGAATAACTTCGAGCTCACGATTGTTGTGTTCCCCTCCATCCTGTTATACTTGAGCTTTGGCCATGCTATCTGCCGACTCTTTAGTCAGTACCACCCAACCTAATGGCCAGGCTGCCAACCGCCTCAAATAGAGAAGGGAGAATATAATCCCGACTGCTGTTCAGGGACGTATTTATCAACGATAGTATGAAGGGTATATGGAAATATACACTGGCACAAAACGAGCATCCGCGCTCTTATTCTTTGAAAAAACAGTTGTGCGCAATCTTATCCAGTCAGTACAAGTGAACAATTTGAGTGCTGAAAGCGAAGTGTCTGAGATTCAGTTGAATGGACGAAATTCCCCTTTCTCCTATGAGACCACCCATTAACCATTACTTACCAAAATAACTTGGAGATAAATAATATTAGCGATAATTTTGGCACACACGACTCCGGCTTAATATCCTCAGATGACATCTGCCTTCCCTTCTTCATACATCACAAATGTATTAGCCAACGGGATGTTTCGACCACAACACTAACGCGAATAGCACAGACATCATAAAGGAGGGCAGATTGCACAAGTCACTGCATCATAGACACCAAACCCTTTGCAGTTATTAATTTCACTACCCTAATGTGGGCTTACATTCGCTTGAAGTACTGTCCTGGCACTGTCATAAGTTCATTTGAATCTGAGCTAGCAACTATCCTATAACCTGCCCCAGACACTATAAAACTTCGAGAACAACTTTTTTAAGAATATCTGCTGCCTCATGCCACTCTTCACTCTCACTCAGTCTGATCAGTGCCCGACCCTTGCTCAGTAAGATAGTTGACCTCACGATACTATCAACAATTTATAGCATATCCTTCATTATGATTACTGAAACACACTGTACTTATAATTACACTAATATTGTCACGTATTATAACTATTATTCATTGCTTGTATTTCAATACAACAATAATTTGTGCTCGAAACGTCATCAGTTAATATTACTGTGTAACACTGTGTGATTTATGAAAATAAAATCTTATCCATAAGGGGGCGACTTAAGGATCGTCTATTGATTCCTTTATATAATCCTAATAGAAGGATCCACAAGTGTAAAAAACTATCTACAGGGATTACGAAGTAGGAGTAATGTCTGGAAAACACCAATCAATTGTGGTAAGTATTAAATTAAGGCCCGAATGTTGGTAGTCTGAATAATCAACTATATGGTGAGTCCTAAATAGTAATGAATCCTATCTTACTGTTCTATAACTATAATCTTGTGTAGTCAAATCTTTCGGAACAACATATTATAACTTACTACTACTTATATGTTTAATGCTGCACGATTATGCACTGTTTTCCGAAATTACATTTGTTTATATCTAAAACGTAAACTCTGATAGTCCACTTTCCTTATACTTTTATTATTGTTCCTCTCCAAAATGCTGTAACAGATGAAACATACATGACGGTCTTCTGAAAGTAGTCACTCATGCCATGACTTCGAATGAGTTGACAAATGAATATTTTTTTAAAAAAGAAAAGTTTGTGGCATATTATAACAGAAATTAAAAGATATATATAAAAAAATGAAGCATTTTGCCAGGGCCTTGCACAAAAAAGGTGGGAGGGTGGTGATTGCTAGTCAGCGGATATGATGGTGGGGACATATGAGAACCACCCTTATCTGTGGGACAGCACTCTATTGCTAAGGCTCCTGAGTTCGAATGGCTTCTGCAGAATAAGAGAATAAATAAAATTTAAAAAAAAGACAACAGAAGTTGAAAATTTGCCTAAAGCTGAAGTTTAAATAACAAACTCCTCGAATGCAAGTACATGGTATGAGTCCCCTACTTCAGAAGGACACCTAAATGTATACTTCAGAAAAACAGTAGTTATTATTAAGCCCTCGCTTTTCTTCTACATAGTTCACGCACTTTGACTTTTGTGTTTAACTCCTATTTAACCTATATAAGTAGGTAAAATTATCATCTTTTCACTTAAACTTTTTTTTCTTTTCGCAAGAAAGACCAGA